AACCCATCCTAACTTTTTTGGAACATGTTGCTGGCATCAAATTTACTTGAAAATAAGTAAATCTTTGATCTTGCCACAGAAGATACTCGGAAGACCAGGGTACACCTGCTTCCAGCCTCATCTCACCCCAGTCTAAAGACCAGTTTTTGGAACCAAAGCTTTATACTCTAAATTTCCACACCCCCAAGAGAGAGAGTGGACGTTCTCAGAGACATGCATCCTATCGTAAAAGGAACAGAATCTTCTTAGGGACTCATATCCTATTGTAAATACATTAGTGTCATAAAAAGGCCACAGTTGATGTCATAATTGAGTGTTCTGTTCCTGTCCTTAGGAAGTGTCATAAAAGAAAATTTGCTATAACTATTCAAACCACGAGAACAGAACTGTTTGGCATTCACATGCTTACCAATGAATAACAACGCAAAACAAAGGAAGAAGAACAGATAACTAAGAAAGAAACCAATTCCCAACAATTCCCCCCTTGAACGCATCTGAAGCGTTCACTATAATACATTTGATTACTGTAAGTTTGCTTAATGGCATGACTGATATGTCAAGGAATGGATCTACACATTTCAGTCCAAATAATCAGAATTAAAAATCACTGCATCAGATGAAATTGTTTGCCATTAAATAGACATAGTTTATAACCCAGTTTCTGCATCCATACATACATGCATTTGCTTTATGCCAGACAGAAATCATGACATAATATCATGGAGCTGAACATGTATTTGACCAACTTAAGTCATCTAACTCTTGCCATTGTCTGAAGTCCAAACCAGCCTTGATTTGCCCTGTATGCCAAGTACATACATGTCCACACATATGCAGAATACTGTAACTGTAACCAAACCACGAATACAGAACTCTTCAGCATGCACATGCCTACTAATGAACAACAACAAAATAAAGGAAAAAAGAACAGATAACTAAGAAATAAAACAATTACCAATGCATGGAATTCACAAGGCCTGTGTCAGTGGACATTAGTAAGTCCTTTTATGGAGGTCTTGATGTCCTTCTCTTGAAGCTTCTTCAGTTGTACTGGTTGGAATCAATACATCAAACTTTAAAAACCATAACTTAAAAACCACTTGGAGCACAGCTTTGAAATTTTGCATTATTGTAAAAATAAAATGTAAGAGTTTAAGTGGTTAAGAGTTAAATTATTATTATTATTTTTTACAAAAATCCTTTATGAGACTGGATAGGTTGTAGTTAGGTTGGCGTGGAACCAAAAGGGAAAGTCCAGAGCCATTATTAGTCTAAATGCTGATGGGGGCTGAGCGATGTCATTTATTAAAAAAATCTTCAGCCTATTACTTGATAAATAACACAGCACAGTTATATTGCTTAATCATGTACCCTGCTCAAGAGAGGGTTACAGGGACCTACCCCTGGAGCCAGGCCTGGGGGTAGTGTTCCTTGGCGAGCGCCTGGTGGCCGGGCAGCCCTCCTAACCCGGCCGGGCTCAGCCTGAAAAGGTGACATGGGGGACCATGTGGGCCCACCACCCACAAGGTCCAGCATTGGAGACCAGTGCACCGTATAGGCAGTGGGAGATGGCAGAGAGGCCCTTGGTGGCATACACCCCTGCGGCGGAAACTGGCCCTTGGTATGTGGAACGTAAACTCGCTGGGGGGGGCGGAGCCAGAGCTTGTGCGGGAGGTTGAGAGGTACCAACTAGATATAGTTGGGCTTACTTCCAACCACAGTGTTGGCTCTGGAACCAAACTCCTTGATAGGAGTTGGTCCCTCTCCTACTCAGAAGTTGCACAGGGTGAGAGGCCCTGGGCGGGTGTGGGGATGCCCACGAGGCCCCAAGCGAATAGTGAGTGTGTGCTGGGAACAACTGTCAGAGGCCACTGTTCGGAAGATGTTGCTCGCACCTCTGGGAAAGCTTTTCTCATGTTCTGGAGGAGATAGGGGACACAGAGTCTGAGTGGACCCTGTTCAAAACCTCCATTGTGGAAGCTGGCAGGCATAGCTGTGGCCAACAGCTTGTGCCTGTCAGGGCGGTAAACCAAGAACCCTCTTGTGGACATTGGTGGTGAGGGAGGCCATCAAGCAGAAGAAAGAGGCCTTTAGGGACTGGATGGCCTGGAGGACTCCCGACTCAGCAGATAGGTACTGAAAGGCATAAAAGTCAGCAGCAGCAATGGTGGAGTAAGCAAAATCCAGGGCGGGGTGGTGGTCCCTATAAGAAAGGGGACTGGAGGGTGTGTGCCAACTGGGGTGTCACACTGCTCAGCCTCCCTGGGAAAGTTTATGCCAAGGTGCTACAAAGGAGACTCCAACTGATAATTGAACCTCAGATTGAGGAGGAAAACTTGTGGAAGATCCTCCAGGAGTATGGGGTGCCGGGGCTACTACTCCGGGCCATTCAATCTCTGTAGACCCGGATTGAGAGTTGTGTTTATATCTCAACATTAAGTCAAGCTTGTTCAGTGTTAGCATTGGACTCCACCAAGGTTGTGCCTTGTCTCCACTCCTTTTTGTGGTATTCATGGACAGGGTATCAAGGCTTACCTGAGGTCAGGAGAGGATCATGTGTGGAGGACAGAGGGTGGCATCTCTGCTATTTGCAGATGATGTTATCTTTTTGGCTGTATTTCATGGATGCCTCAAGAGCTCACTGGAGCAGTTTGCAGCTCAGTGTGAAGCGGTTGGTATGTGGATCAGCACCTACAAGTTTGAGTCCATGGTCCTAGCACGGAAAAGGATGGAATGTCCACTCCAGGTAAGGCGAAAGGACCGCACCAGGTGGAGGAGTTTAAGTATCTCGGGATCTTGATAACGAGTGATGGGAAGAGGGATCGTGAGATTGGCCACAGGCTGGGACAGGTGGCAACAGTAATGCAGTCACTGTACCAGACTGTAGTGGTGAAGAGGGAGCTGAGTCATAAGGCAAAGCTCTCTGTTTACTGGTCAGTCTACATCCTGATCCTCATCTATGGTCATGAGTTCTGGGTAATGACCGAAAGAATGAAATAGCGAATACAAGCGGCGGAAATGAGCTTTTCTTCTCAGGGTGGCAGGCTACAATCTACTTGATAGGGTGAGAAGCTTGGTCATCCAGGAGGTTGCTACTCCTCCGCATTGAGAGGAACCAGCTGAGGTGGTTCGGGCATCTGATCAGGATTTCCCCTGGACGCCTCCTGGTGGGGGTTTACCAGGCACGGCCTATTGGGACGAGACCCCTGGGTCATCATAGGACCTACAGGAGGGATTATATTTCCAAGTTGGCCTGGGAGCAGCTTGGGGTCCCCTGGAATGAGCTGGAGGAAGTTGTGGGGGACAGGGTTGTCTGGGATTCTCTGCTCTCCCAACTGCTACTGCGATCCTTTCTGGACTAAGCAGTTAATGATGATGAAAATGAAGATAAAGAGCTTTCAAACTGGATAATCTTAAGATTAGGATAATCTTAAGATTCTCAGCACTGCAGTAACACTGATGTGGTGGTGGTGTGTTAGTGTGTGTTGTGCTGGTCTGAGTGGATCAGACACAGCAGTGCTCCTGGAGTTTTTAAACACCTCAGTGTCATTGCTGGACTAAGAATAGTTCACCAACCAAAAATATCCAGCCAACAGCGTCCTGTGGGCAGTGTCCTGTGACCACTGATGAAGGACTAGATGATGACCAACACAAACTGTGCAGCAGCAGATGAGCTATCGTCTCTGACTTTACATCTACAAGGTGGACTGACAAGGTAGGAGTCTCTAATAGAGTGGACAATGAGTGGACATAGTGTTTAAAAACTCCAGCAGCACTGCTGTGTCTGATCCACTCAGACCAGCACAGCACACACTAACACACCACCACCATGTCAGTGTTACTGCAGTGCTGAGAATGATCCACCACCCAAATAGTACCTGCTCTGTAAGGGTCCATGGGGGTCCTGACCACTGAAGAACAGGGTAAAAGGGGGCTAACAAAGTATGCAGACAAAGCAAATGGACTACAGTCTGTAACTGTAGAACTACAAAGTGCACCTATATAGTAAGTGGAGCTGATAAAATGGACAATGAGCATAGAAACAAGGAGGTGCTCATAATGTTATGCCTGATTGGTGTATTTCCAAATATAGTCACATGGTTTTCAGGTTTTAAACACAACAATGTTAAAGAGAACTTTTTTTAAATAATCACAGCATTTAGATTTTCATTTTAATAACTGGTACATATTTGCTTTCCTTAATTATGTACATAATGAGAAAGTGGTGCACAAAAGTATTTAAACCTAAATTTCAGGTTTTACAGTGTAGCTTTGTATGCATGAACACTGCAGTTCCTGTTGCCTTTGTACAATACTCTTTCCAAAAAAGTTGGGACACTGAGCAAAATGTAAATAAAAAAATAATATGATGATGTGCAAATCATTTAAATACTATATTTAATTGAAAATAGTACAAATACAGCATTTTAAATGTTAAAATGGAGACAAGTTTTCTTTTTTTTCTTTTTTTTAAATATATGACCATTTTGAATTTGAACCCTGCAACACATTTCAAAAAAGTTGGGATGGGGCAACAAAAGACCAGTTAAGAAAACACCTGTGGAATGGGATTGTATTAAATTTTAGAAAGACAAACCTGCTCTACACACCAATTTCTACATGTTCATATAGTGTTAGACTGTCTGTGTGTGGCAGGAAGAAGTTTTAGAGTGTGTGAGAATGAGATAAAGTAGTAGAGTATATGAGCCTTCAGAAATATTAACATCTATACATTATCTTTCATCTGTGTTAGTGCTCAGAAAATGTTTCCTACTGACCCCCTTTTTTATGCAAACAAATAATATGACATGTCACATATAATAAAGTCTATGTAAGTGAGATATAGACATATTTTAGAAGGTTGTTGTTTTTGTTTTATTCAAAATCTTTTTTTAGAATGTGTGTGTGTGTGAAAGAGAGCGAGAGAGAGAGAGAGAGAAAGAGAGAGAGAGAGAAAGAGAGAGAGATTATGTATGTATGTATTGAGATATTGATCTTACTTCAGTTTCAGCAGTTTACAGTTTTCACTCTTCAGTCCCTCACAGAGCTTCTTCACTCCTGAATCCTTCAGGTAATTGTTACTCAGGTCCAGTTCTGTGAGTGCTGAGTTCTCTGAGCTAAGAGCTGAGGCCAGAACTGCACAGCTTTTCTCTGTGAGACCAGAACCATTTAACCTGGAAGAGAATTATTGATATATCAGAACACTGCCATCACACACACACACACACACACACACACACACATTATATAAACTAAGAACAGTCTTTATGTTTTCTTAAAACACACATAACAGGTTAAAGTATCAAATACTTCACACATCAAACTACGAAACAGTGCACACACTATGCAAAGGAGAGATAATTCTCTGGCCAGAAATGGAACTGCTCTCCTCCACAGCCACATAACACAATGAACTTTACAAAAGTCATACCGTACTCGCACATTATTGACTTTGTAATTTTTTTCATTGTTAAGTTCATCACAAATGAAGCAGTGAGGTTCTGCCATCCAGGGTAATTAACAGGGAAAGACATTAACTCCAAAACTGTTCTGTCTTTCTCTACAATCAGGAATGAAATTATTAGAAAAGAATAATCAAACACAATGTTTAAATCTTCTGCAAATCTGTGGGTCATTTTTCAAGCTGAGATTTAAAAGAGTCAGTACAGTATTCAGTGCTTTAACTATATTAAATTGAGCATGTAACCAGTGAACCTTCATTTAAATCTGGAGTTACAGCTTGTGCATGTGCATGCTGGCCAGAGTGCAACACATCAGCATGTAAAATCTAAGCTTTTTATGAGCTGCTGTGTTTCTCTCACTGTAAAAATGTACAGTGTCCTTTATTGTTGCACTGTGATTTTAAGATAAAACACAAATCAGTAAGCTCTGATTTTTGATTTATGTTGATGTTGGCCTGTGCTGCTGAGGAGTAATGTCAATGATGTGCACACTAAAGAACTTGGAGCTTTTGACTCTCTCTACAGTTGGAAGACTGATGGAGTGGAGAGTGAAAACCGTGGTTAAGAATCATCTTGTTTGGGGTTCCACTACACAACTTTTACCCAATATAGACCTTTCTCACAGTCACTGTGTCACAGTCACATCCGGCTATAAATCCAGTAATATTATTGAACTTGCCTGAACCATTTAATAGAGCAGTAACAAAGGGTTGCCAGTTTTCAGCCTCCCTCAAAAATCTTTTTTTCCACCTCAGTGGCCAATAGGAGAGCAGATGGTGGGTTTGGTAGTTCCACCAACATGAATGAAAAGCTAGGCTGACTTTGCCGGAAGTGCGTTGTGCAAAAGTTTAAAAATTTGATCTTTTTAAGACACTGTGCATCTGCCACAGTGTACTCTGTTTACCAATGTGATCAAAACCATCCTACTGTACAGCCCCGCATTGGTTCCCCAGTTCAATTTACCCTCCTAATTTACCTTACTAAAAGTGACATATGGCAAGCAGAGCTTTTCAGCCTAAGTTGATTTTTTTTTAAAAATTGACAGAGTGGGACCTCAGGTAAGGATGTTTAGTTGAATTACTGGTACACTTACGAATGCATCATTAATTCCAGGTAGTCTCAGCCATTGTTTACTTTTAAAGTCAGCAGTGTGAATTGTAGGGGACACACAGCCCTGGGGAGAGACGGTTTTCAGTGTGGTGGTGCTGGAGGTGTTGCTGACCCTGACAGACTGAGGCCTTCCAGTCAGTAAGTCCAGGATCCAGGTGCAGAGGGAGGTTTTTGGGCCCAGCAAGCTCACCTTTCCAATAAGTTGCTGTGGGATGATCGTGTTAAATTCTGAACGAATGTGAACAGCATTTTCCCATAATTTTTTTTTCTGACCAGATGGATCAGTGAGAGGTGAATGGAAGAGTATATGGTGCCCTCTGTAGACTGGTTAGGGAGATATGTGAACTGAAATGGGTACAATGTGGACAGAAGACTACTCTTTGTGTGTTTTATTACCAACTGCTCAAATGCTTCATGATGATTGGAGTCAGCGCTACAGGTTGGTAGTCATTGAGGCAAGACACAGTAGATTTTTCTAGCACAAGAATGATGGTAGTCATTTTGAATCACTATGGAACAACTGCCTGGCTCAGAGATGTCTGTTAGAACATCTACAGGCTGGTCAGCACATCCCCTGAGTACTTGGCCAGGTATATTACCAGGGCCAGCAGCCTTCTGAGGAGCAACTCTGGAAAGGGCTGTCCTAACATTGACAGGGGTGGTCTTCCTCACTGGCTGGTTGTTCTGTGCTTCAAAGTGTGCACAGAAATTATTCAGTGCATCTGAGAGCGAGGCATCACCAGTGACATCACCAATGTCAATTTGCTGTCAGTGATGAATACTTTGCCACATGCGCCGTGCATCTCTGGTGTTCTGAAAGTGTCAATGTCTGTACATAGTCACACTCTGATAGCCTAGAACAGGCTGACCCTTGCTGCAGAGAGCCACCTTGTCATCTGACCTAAAGGCAGCATTCCTGTCTGTGTGTTTCTTTGCTGAACTGTACAACTGCCCATTCTGTGCTGTTTCATGCTGTTGATTCATCATCCCTGCTCACCTACCTTCTTGACCAGTTTGACCACCATGGATCTTCATGCTTTCCAATGCTGTGCAGAAAAGCCTCACCTGCATGCCACTGACCCTCCTGATGATACTGCTGCCTGCACAGACTCAAACTATTTAATCGTAGATATTACTTCACTTGCCTCACAATACTCTGAGCTTTTCTCATATTCATACTAACAGATCATCCTTGTAAGCCTCTAACAGTAGTAATTGATGTTCATTATTTTATTCTCCATAATATGCTCACTGATTTTCTCTGGTAAAAGGGACTGATTTTCATTGACCTCTTTCTTATTGTTACTCTGATAGGCCTCTAACAGCAGTCATCAGTTATTGTTATGTAACACTCCAGAACTGATCGCGGATGAAATTAGAAAAAGAGGCTTTACTGATACAAACACTTTCCAAACTCGTCGTCAAAACACAGGCAATGGTCAAATCCAAAACAAGTCCAAAAACACAAAAAGACAAACATAACCAGATGACAAACAAAATTCAAAAGGGGAGAGACAAAAAGCAGGGTCGAAAATCCAGAACAATATTCAGAAAAAACAAGTAGGTAAATATATCAGATATCAGTATTCTGGTGAAGCGGAATGATGATAGGTTGTGGAATGAGCATCATTAGTCACATGATCCCCAAGGGAGTTCTGGGAGTTGGAGTTCTCAGATAGCGCTAATCCAGATGGATGTGTGACACATTGGTTAATCTAAATAGTTATTTCCAGTGACAGGCTGTTTCATTTTTCTTTTTTCTATATTCAATGTTTTAATTAATATAATTGTTAATTTTTACTCTTATGTTTTTGTTTCTCTATCTGGTGTTGACCAGAGGAGGATGGGTTCCCTTTTTAAATATCGGTTCCTCTCAAAGTTTCTTCCTCTTGCTCTTAGGGAGGTTTTTTTGCCACTGTCACCCTTGGGTTGTTCATGGAGGCTCAGACCCGGATGTTCTGTAAAGTTACTTGTGCTACGTAAATAAATTTGACTTTGACTTTGAAATTTGACATTCTGGGTTTTCAGCAGTGTATCTACCTCTGCTCATACTGGCCACTGGATATTCAACATAGCACCTCATGGCAAAGAACTCTCTGAGCATGTGAGAAATAGAATTGTCGCTCTCCACAAAGATGGCCTAGGCTATAAGAAGATTGCTAACACCCTGAAACTGAGCGGCCATGGTGGCCAAGGTCATACCATACAGGGTCGACCAAAAAAGTTGAGTCCATGTGTTCAGTGTCCAGAGGTTGGCTTCAAAAAATAAACGCATGAGTGCTGCCAGCATTGCTGCAGAGGTTGAAGAAGAGGGAAGTCAGCCTGTCAGTGCTCAGACCATATGCCACACAATGCATCAACTCGGTCTCCATGGCCATTGTCCCAGAAGGAAGCATCTTCTGAAGCTGATGCACAAGAAAGCATGCAAAGAGTTTGCTGAAGACAAGCAGTCCAAGAACATGGATTACTGGAACCATGTCCTGTGGTCTGATAAGACCAAGATAAACTTGTTTGGCTCAGATGGTGTCCAGCATGTGTTGTGACGCCCTGGTGAGGAGTACCAAGACAACTGTCTCTTGCCTACAGTCAAGCATGGTGGTGGTAGCATCATGGTCTGGGGCTGCATGAGTGCTGCCGGCACTGGGGAGCTGCGGTTCATTGAGGGAAACATGAATTCCAACATGTACTGTGACATTCTGAGGCAGAGCATGATCCCCTCCCTTCAGAAACTGTGCTGCATGGCAGTTTTCTAACACAATAACGACCCCAAACACACCTCCAAGATGACAACTGCCTTGCTGAAGGTAAAGGTGATGGACTGGCCAATTGTGTCTCCAGACCTAAACCCAACCGAGCACCTGTGGGGCATCCTCAAGCAGAAGGAGGAGGAGCGCAAGGTGTCTAACATCCACCCGCTCTGTGATGTCATCATAGAGGAGTGGAAGAGGATTCCAGTAGCAAGCTGTGCAGCTCTGGTGAATTCAATGCCCAAGAGGGTTAAGGCAGTGCTAGATAATAATGGTCACACAAAATATTAACACTTTGAGCACAATTTGGACATGTTCACTGTGAGGTGTACTCACTTGTGTTGGCAGCTATTTAGACATTAATGGCTGTAAGTTGAGTTTCATAGGACAGTAATCTATACTGTTATACAAGCTGTACACTGACTACTTTGTTATACCCAAGTTTCATTTCTATAGTGTTGTCCCATGAAAAGATATAATAAAATATTTGCAGAAATGTGAGGGGTGTACTCACTTTTGTGAGACACTGTATGTGTGTGTGTATAGTATATATATATAACATATCAAATGTTGAAACTGAGAAATTTTATTGGTTTTTGAAAAATATATGCACATTTTGAATTTGATGCCAACAACACATTCCAAAAAAGTTGGGACGGGGTGAACAAAAGGCTGGTAAAGTTGTGTAATGCTAAAAGACACCTGTTGGTTAATTAGCAGCAGGTCAGTAACATGATTGGGTATAAAAGAGCATCTCAGAGAGGCTGAGTCTTTCAGAAATAAAGATGAGGAGGAGTTCACCACTCTGTGAAAGACTGCATGATCCAATAGTGCAACAATTCAAGAATAACGTTTCTCAACATAAAATAGCAAAGAACTTGTGCTTTTCATCATCTACAGTACATAATATCATTAAAAGATTCAGAGGATCTGGATAAATCTCTGTATGTAAGGGATAATGCTGAAAACCAGTATTCGCTGGCCGTGATCTTTGGACCCTCAGCCGGCACTGCATTAAAAATAGACATGATTCTGTAGTGGAACTGCATCACTGCATGGGCTCAGAAACACTTCTGAAAACCACTGTCTGTGAAAACAGTTCATCACTGCATCCACAAATGCAAGTTAAATCTCTAAAATGCAAAGAAGAAACCGTATATAAACAGGATCCAGAAATGCTGCCACCTTCTCCGGGCCAAAGCTCATTTAAAATGGACTGGGGGGGATTGGAAAAGTGTTCTGCAGTCTGACAAATCAAAATCTTAAATTCTTTTTGGAAGTCGTGGACACTGCGTCCTCCGGGCTAGAGACCACTCAGCTTGTTGTCAGTACACAGTTCAAAAGCCAGTATTCATGATGGTATAAGGGGACATTAGTGCACATAGTATGGATTACATACACGTCTGTGAAGGCACCATTAATGCTGAATGATTTATACATGTTTTGGGAACATATGCTGCCATCCAGATGACGTCTTTTTCAGGGAAGGCCTTGATTATTTCAGCAAGACAATGTAAAACCACATTCTGCATGTGTTACAACAGCATTGCTCCATATAAAAAGAGTCTGGGTGCAGTCCAGACCTGTTACCCACTGAAAACATTTGTCACATTATGAAATTAAATAGAACAAAAATCCTATATCCTATATCAATAAGAATGGGAAAACATTTCACTATCAAAACTACAGCAGTGTCTCCTCAGTTCCCAAACACTTACAGAGTGTTGTTAAAAGAGGTGATGAAACACAGTGCTAAACATGCCCCTGCCCCAACTTTTTTGGAACATGTTGTTGGCATCAAATTCAAATAGGCATATATTTTTCAAAAAACAATAAAAATTCTCAGTTTCAACATTTGATATGTTGTCTTTGTAGTATTTTCCTTTAAAAAGTATGGTTACATGATTTGCATATGATTGCATTATATTTTTATTTACATTCTGCACAGCGTCCCAAATTTTTTGGAAATGGGGTTGTATCCTGAGTGTCTGTACACCTGTTTGATCAGTTGGTTCATAAGTGTGGTAATTTGAAAGGCAGTGCCTTGAAATTGCAAAGAGGTGACATCATGTTAGATTTATGTGTGTTCACTGGCCTGCAAAACACAGTGTGTAGAGTTTTGCTAAAAGTATGAGGCTGAGAATGAGCTTATTGTTGTGCAGATCTGGGCTGAGGTTTTGCTCTGTCAGTGTCAGGTTTCACTAGTATTATTTGTAAATTTATCGTGTAAGTCATCATAAAACACTGTAAACCCCACCACCCACTATTTTAATGTCTGCAGTACAATCAGTAACATAAGCAAAGCAAGCTAGCAAGTGAAACATTATTGTTAAATTACATTTATTCTTCAGAATGTTTCAGAAACACCCTTCTATTTAATTGCGTCAGATGTGCTCCATGCACAAAAATCTATTCAATGAATCATTAGTTCAAAAAGGAAAAAAAAATTTGGATTGTTTACCAGCAGGAAGGTGGTAAAAGTTTAGTTTACCAAGCCTGGCCAGCTGTTTACAACTTGACATTTAAAACACAAAAAATTATGGTGTTGGTTAAATGTCCATTACTGTCCATAATGGAGGAGCAAGTTTATTGTTTAAAGGCAAAGAGGATTTCAGCTGCACATACAGGTCACAGCACAGAAATGGACCAGAACATAGCTTCAGGTGATTTCAGTCAGACTTATTCCATCAGCAGCTTGTTGGAACAGCTGTGGATGAGGTTTATGATGCTTCTCAGTGGTGAGTACATGTAGATAAGCATTTCTAATGTGCATGCATTTTGGTGGGCATGACAGCACATTGTTTAGCTCAAATACAAATTTGAGAGCTCATCTTTTCTCACACAGTTCTTTCTAGATCACTTTTACTCTGGCTGTATCACTACAACTGTGAATGAGTCCACAAACAGCTTCTGGCAACCCATCATCAGCTTTAACTACTCACCCAGTGATAAATTCTAAAGATGATGCATTGTCTAGTTTAATGGAACATCTTTTCCGTTATAAGAGGTCATGTTTATTTTCACTTCAGTAATGTGTTCTCTGCACTTGCGACTCAAATTTTCTTGCTTATTTTATCTTTTTGGGAGACTTTTCATTGATGCTAACTCATGTTACAATCATAGGGCTAAAGACAGACTTGTTGTCTGTTGGACAATGCACACCAGCACCCCCTATTTGAAGCTCGAAAGGGCTCAGGGCTCTGCAGCAAGGTCCTCATTTGCTAACCTGCAGAACCTCTTTTTAATGTCCATATTCATTTCCTGATTCCCTGCAGGTGCAGCAGAGTAGATGCACTCTGCATATGATTTGGGGTGTTTGGGCAGCAGCTGCTCCTTTTGGCATCCATACTTTTTTCATATACAGTCTCAGTACAGTGTTTTATTTGTATTCAGCGTGTGTGCATATCTGCTCTATGTGTGATTGTGACTGAATAATTTACTTTTATAGTATTTTTGAACAGTTTTTCAGTGAAGAGTTTTTGAGAGGTTTTGAGAATAGCGTGTTTGGTAAAGAACTTGATGTTTGTTTTAGAAAATGTGTAATAAGATTGTGTCTGTGTGTACAGTAAGACTTGAGGTTCTTCAACCATACAGGCAAATGCAAGGTGGACTAGGATCATTTAATTTTCACAATGCATGAAACAAAACACAATCGACCTACAAATTAATTCAGTACAGTTAATTTTGAGGATGTTTAGAGGAGTCTGACGTGTTCAAATGCACACAGAAAACCATCACTATGTGATCTGAGTTCAGATGAACCACTGAAACAGTCCAATTGTAAAAACAGCCTTAATGACATTTCAGACAGTAAAATTACAAAAAGGAAGAGTTTGTATATATGTTTTGTTCCTTTAAGAGTCTTTTAGTCTTATCTTTGGTTACCTTTAGTTTCAGATCATTAGAAAGCTGCTTACACAAGCTCATGGACGTTATATGTAAGCACAATATGTTTTAAGGGTCACATAATTTATTTCACCTGGAATTGTCTACACTTGACTTGGACTTAATGGCTAATAAGTCAACAACAACAAGGATGCCCAAAGTTTTGCACACACCACATTTTATTTAATTATTTATTTATCTATTTCAGTACGTGATATATTTATGTACTAAAATTGGTCATTATTAACTTTGTGCTATGCAAATGTTGTATTAACTTCTTTCTACTTAGAAAATGAACAAAACGTAATTTGAACAGTGGTGCTCTAACCTTTGCATATGACTGAAGTACGGAATGAAAATACTCACACAACACTTTGGAGAGATACCAAGATATCCTTCAGAATTTTCTTCAGTGTATTATCACTTAGGCAGTTCAGCAAAGCAGATGTCACTGTTAAGGTGAGTAAGATAAAAAAAAAAAGATTAAAAACTTTTCATACAAACACATCATTCAGCTCACACAACCACATCATTCAGCTCCACAACCACATCATTCAGCTCCACAACCACATCATTCAGCACCACAACCACATCATTCAGCTCACACAACCACATCATTCAGCACCACAACCACATCATTCAGCTCACACAACCACATCATTCAGCACCACCACCACATCATTCAGCTCACACAACCACATCATTCAGCACCACAACCACATCATTCAGCTCCACAATGACATCATTCAGCTCACACAACCACATCATTCAGCACCACAACCACATCATTCAGCTCCACAACCACATCATTCAGCACCACAACCACATCATTCAGCTCACACAACCACATCATTCAGCACCACAACCACATCATTCAGTACCACAACCACATCATTCAGCTCCACAACGACATCATTCAGCACCACAACCACATCATTCAGCACCACAACCACATCATTCAGCTCCACAATGACATCATTCAGCACCACAACCACATCATTCAGCTCACACAACCACATCATTCAGTACAACAACCACATCATTCAGCTCCACAACGACATCATTCAGCACCACAACCACATCATTCAGCTCACACAACCACATCATTCAGCACCACAACCACATCATTCAGCTCCACAACGACATCATTCAGCACCACAACCACATCATTCAGCACCACAACCACATCATTCAGCACCACAACCACATCATTCAGCTCACACAACCACATCATTCAGCACCACAACCACATCATTCAGCTCACACAACCACATCATTCAGCTCACACAACCACATCATTCAGCACCACAACCACATCATTCAGCACCACAACCACATCATTCAGCACCACAACCACATCATTCAACTCACACAACCACATCATTCAGCACCACAACCACATCATTCAGCTCACACAACCACATCATTCAGCACCACAACCACATCATTCAGCTCACACAACCACATCATTCAGCACCACAACCACATCATTCAGCTCACACAACCACATCATTCAGCACCACAACCACATCATTCAGCTCACACAACCACATCATTCAGCACCACAACCACATCATTCAACTCACACAACCACATCATTCAGCACCACAACCACATCATTCAGCTCACACAACCACATCATTCAGCACCACAACCACATCATTCAGTACAACAACCACATCATTCAGCTCACACAACCACATCATTCAGCACCACAACCACATCATTCAGCACCATAACCACATCATTCAGCTCCACAACGACATCATTCAGCTCCACAATGACATCATTCAGCTCACACAACCACATCATTCAGCTCACACAACCACATCATTCAGCACCACAACCACATCATTCAGCTCACACAACCACATCATTCAGCACCACATCCACATCATTCAGCTCCACAACGACATCATTCAGCTCCACAATGACATCATTCAGCTCACACAACGACATCATTCAGCACCACAACCACATCATTCAGTACAACAACCACATCATTCAGCACCACAACCACATCATTCAGCTCCACAACCACATCATTCAGCACCACAACCACATCATTCAGCTCCACAACCACATCATTCAGCACCACAACCACATCATTCAGCTCACACAACCACATCATTCAGCTCACACAACCACATCATTCAGCTCACACAACCACATCATTCAGCACCACAACCACATCATTCAGCACCATAACCACATCATTCAACACCACAACCACATCATTCAGCTCACACAACGACATCATTCAGCACCACAACCACATCATTCAGCACCACAACCACATCATTCAGCTCACACAACCACATCATTCAGCTCACACAACCACATCATTCAGTACCACAACCACATCATTCAACACCACAACCACATCATTCAGCTCCACAACCACATCATTCAACACCACAACCACATCATTCAGCACCACAACCACATCATTCAGTTCACACAACCACATCATTCAGCACCACAACCACATCATTCAGCTCACACAACCACATCATTCAGCACCATAACCACATCATTCAGCACCACAACCACATCATTCAGCTCACACAACCACATCATTCAGCTCCACAACCACATCATTCAGTACCACAACCACATCATTCAGCTCACACAACCACATCATTCAGCTCCACAACCACATCATTCAGTACCACAACCACATCATTCAGCTCACACAACCACATCATTCAGTACCACAACCACATCATTCAGCTCACACAACCACATCATTCAGCTCACACAACCACATCATTCAGTACCACAACCACATCATTCAGTACCACTACCACATCATTCAGCTCACACAACCACATCATTCAGCTCCACAACCACATCAATCAGCACTACAATCACATCATTCAGCACCACAATCACATCATTCAGCTCCACAATCACATCGTTCAACTCCACAACCACATCATTCAGCTCACACAACCATATCATTCAGCTCACACAACCACATCATTCAGCACCACAACCACATCATTCAGCTCACACAACCACATCATTCAGCACCACAACCACATCATTCAGCACCACAACCACATCATTCAGCTCACACAACCACATCATTCAGCACCACAACCACATCATTCAGCTCCACAATCACATCATTCAGCACCACAACAACATCATTCAGCTCACACAACCACATCATTCAGCACCACAGCCACATCATTCAACTCACACAACCACATCATTCAGCACCACAACCACATCATTCAGCACCACAACAACATCATTCAACTCACACAACCACATCATTCAGTACCACAACCACATCATTCAGCACCACAACCACATCATTTAGCACCACAGCTCACACAAACACATAATTTATGCCACCATTGGGGGTAGTACGGAGTGGTTCTTGACCCTGCAACCCCGCAATACTTGCTCAATTTTGAAAACAATTGATTTTCAAATTTGCCTTCCTTGTCATGATGTATACATGAGGGGAACCCAAACTTAAGCGCATAATCATTAAAATCTGCAACTGTCTTGTCTGATTTGTTGGTTGTTGCATGTGCCTTAGCAAATCTAGTGAAATGGTCAATGATTACTAATATATATTCCTAACCCCCTTTGCATTTGTTTAGATGAAGGAATTCGACTGATACCAACTCAAATGGGTGCATGGTGACAAAGCTAGTAAGTGGGGCTCGAGTCTCTCTGCTTGGTGTCTTTTGTTTCAGACTGGTGCAGCTATACAACATAGTGCTCTATTTCCTTTTGCATGTATGGCCAAAAAAAGCATTCTCAAATCAATCACATCATCCTGTCAATACCCTGGTGTCCAGTATTGTTGTGTAATTGCTTTAGTACTGTTGCGTTGTTTTTCAGGTAGAACTAACTGTATCCATTGTGCTGTTTTCCTGTACAAGATTCCATCCTCATTAAATTGCAACTTTTCCCATTCCTTCAAGAGGTCTTTTCATAACCTGTCCAATATCAGGGTCATTCATTTGATTTTGCACTAAGAACACTGGTGTTAATGGGGTCACTGATACATCAGGCAGGGAGGGCATATCCTTGGCAGAGATTATCATTGGCCACAAGGCACTAGATTCCAGATGTAGCTCAACTGGTTTGGCACTTGTTCCCACTGCATCATAGGTTATTTCCTCTGTGCATTCCTGCTTCATGGTCTACATGTCCTCTGGCATGCGTCTTTGAAGTAGAGAACATATATTTCATTTCAATTTCAATTAATATTCTCTAGCATTTGGCGAACCTGCATCTGTCTCTCATCCAGGTGAGAAAGGTCAACAGGAGGGTCCCACGTCTCACTGGCATCGGCAGTCCGGATGGTATTGACTCAAACAGGTGAGTCACTTTCCTTAAACATGCTGATCGGGTATGCAGATGTTACTGGCTGAACTGTACCAATGTCTGTTCTCCCTTGCAATGTAGTGTCATGATCAGTTGGGTTTTGAATACTAAGCATTTTAGCTGAGGTTGTGGCTTATTTTTTACTCTTACAAGGCTGTCATAACACTCAGCCCTGTAGAATTTGGTTTGATAAACCTCTTCATCCAACTGACTACAATATGATTTCTCTAAAAATTTTTTTTTAAAAATTGGCCAGTTTATATTGAATAATAACATGCTGTAACATACCTAACCTAACACAACCACAGCTGTAACATACCTAAACTAAAATAACCATATCTGTACCCCACCTAACCTAACATAACCACACCTGCAACATACTTAACCTAATGTAACGAACACCACCATCTGGTTGAGGCTTTGGCTCCACAAAGTCTGAGTAAAGAGCCATAAGCAGGATTAAATTGTCTAACATGTTTTATAGCTTAAAAGGAAGTTACTCTAGGACCAAGCATGGACACCACAGGAGGTTATCAACCTTCTGCCCCAAAGGTTACACAATGCAGAAATAAAACCATGCCTGGAGTCCAGCTGCAGGCCTCACCCAAACTCTTAAACTGAAACTTTTTGAATAACAGAAAATCAAATTTGTATCAACTCCAAATTGCCACCATTCATCAGGGTTTTTTCAAGGAGACTGGAGATCCCAAAAATAAGGTTGTTATGAGAATTTACACCAGAGTTAGCCCTTTTTGGATTTTATTGATAATTTAGATATGGAGCCCCAGCACCACCAAGTGGTGAGAGTGAGACACACCACACCACCACTGTAAAGATATTTGTTTATAAAGAAAAGGACCCAAAAAAACTTATGTGGTATGCTTGATAATCAATGTGTATATAATCTGTGACCAACACTACGTGTTTGTTATGTAGTCTTACTGTTATGTGTGTTACTTAAAATATGTATCTTTTTCCTCTTATTAAATGCTAAAAATATGTAGTACATAACTTTGATAACCAACCGATGCAGCCATTTCATTCTAGTGAGTTTAGACCACTGATAAATATGTATCCTGAATGTGTTTTTCTTTTCTTTTCTTTTCGTTGTTCGATTTCATTTGTTCATCCGTTGGGTGATGACCCTGTTTAAATGTATTCATAACCCTCATTACCCAGATATTACATGCAATATTGCTTGTGTCTTTTAACGTGTGTTGTGTTTCAGGTAACAAGGGTTAAACTGTCTCTTATGAAATATACATGAATGTCCTATTTGTTCGTTCATTGGTTTTGAAAGTTTAAATGAATAATCTAAACCTATTTTATGTTAGAATAATTTTTCTTTTCCTTTGTTTCAAAATCTAACTAAAGAAGGGTTTGATTCTTGGGGAGGCGCTAATAAGATTACGCAACACCAATCAGAGTTGGAAACAATGAGTAGCTCGTTAACTGCTAGATGAGGAGAACCTATCAGCATGTACCTATCACATGAGTGCACAGCATTTTCACACGGTTCTGCATTCAAAGAAGAAGCTAGCAATTTTAGGCTTGTGCTGGCCTTGGTCAGAAAGATAGGTGAGAAATATGAAAACATTAAAATTTCAGATCTGAAACCTGAAACCTTTGTCCATCTTTGTAACGTCTGTCCTTTTGTACTTTAAATCACCTGTACACTGTAAAAGTGTCTCATCAGATCTACTTAAGAAAATTACTTCATGTGTTAACAAGTAAATTAGCTAGTTTTATTCAACCTCAATAAATACTTCGAATGAACGATTCTTTCAATCAAAGTGATTTTTTGAGTTGAATAGAACTAGTTCAATTGCTTGTTACTACATGAAGTAATTTCTTAAGTAGATCTGATGAGCCACTTTTACAGTGTAGAGAAGGAAGGTGAATAGTTTCTTATCTCGCCAGTGAAAAGCTATTCATATTTCGGCTTGGTCAAAGAGGGGTAGTTAGTTAAACTAGTATCACCAGCCTCAAAACACTGACTGCAATTCAAACCTCGCCAGTGGAGTTAGAATAGTTCTGATGCCATGAAGATTCCAGCATCTCATCCAGAACCATGCATTAATCTGTGAGCAGATTGACCATCGATAGACTTCCTCAAGCCCCACCCTTGAGCAGCCTCAAGACGCCTCTGCCCAGTTGCTGACTGAAACAGCGCGTGCTTTCACGGCAACCCTGACAGAGCCTCCATCACCAGTGAGAAGAGACCCCAACACGTAAGCTTCAGCCTTCGACTGAGCCTGTCCTGAGATGACCACTTCTGGAGTCAGCTCCCTCGACTCCAACGTATCAAAATCATGTTACTTGAGCTATTTGTTTCTTTTGACTTTTATTTTTATTATTTTTATTTTGTTTATCACTGAAAGTAATTCAAATGTAGTTTAAAATTTAGCCAATAAATCCCCTTTTGAAGTATCCTTGATGTGAGATTATCTCTCTCTTGCCCTGGTCTGTAGACTTCAAATAAATCTGTGTTACTCTAAAATCTTGTCTAAGGTTTTAGCAATAATAACAACATTAAATTGCAAAACCCGCTACACTAACATAACCACACCTGTAACATAATTGACATAACATAGCATACCTGTAACATTCTTAACATAAACACACCAGTAACATACCTAACCATACCTGTAACATACCTAACACAACCACACATATAACATACCTAACTTAACATAACCACAGCTGTAAAATACCTAACATAACACAACCACAGCTGAAGCATAGCTAACCTAAAACAGCCACATTTATAACATACCTAACATAACCATACCTGTAACATACTTAACCTAATCATACCTGTAACATCGCTAACCTAACACAACCATATCTGTAACATACCTAACCTAACACAACCATACCTGTAAAATACACTATATTTCCAAAAGTATTCACTCACCCATCCAAATCATTGAATTCATGTGTTCCAATCACTTCCTTGGCTACGGGTGTATAAAACCAAGCACCCAGGCCTGCAGACTGCTTCTACAGACATTAGTGAAAGAATGGGTCGCTCTCAGGAGCTCAGTGAACTCCAGCGTGGTACCGTGATAGGACGCCACCTGTGCAACAAGTCCAGTTGTGAAATTTCCTCACTACTAAATATTCCACAGTCAACTGTCAGTGGTAACAAAGTGGAAGTGATTGGGAACGACAGCAACTCAGCCACGAAGTGGTCGGCCACGTAAAATGACAGAGCGGGGTCAGCGGATGCTGAGGTGTATAGTGCGCAGGGGTCGCCAACTTTCTGCAGAGTCAATCACTACAGACCTCCAAACTTCATGTGGCCTTCAGATCAGCTCAAGTGCAGTGTAGAGAGCTTCATGGAATGGGTTTCCATGGCTGAGCAGCTGCATCCAAGCCTTACATCACCAAGCACAATGCAAAGCGTCGAATGCAGTGGTGTAAAGCGCCGCCACTGGACTCTAGAGCAGTGGAGACGTGTTCTCTGGAGTGACCAATCACGCTTCTCCGTCTGGCAATCCGATGGATGAGCCTGGGTTTGGCGGTTGCCAGGAGACGGTACTTGTCTGACTGCATTGTTCCACATGTAAAGTTTGGTGGAGGGGGGATTATGGTGTGGGGTTGTTTTTCAGGAATTGGTGAGTTCCAGTGAAAGGAACTCTTAATGCTTCAGCACCAAGAGATTTTGGACAATTTCATGCTCCCAACTTTTTGGGAACAGTTCGGGGAGTTTGGCCCCTTCCTGTTCCAACATGACTGCGCACCAGTGCACAAATCAAGGTCCATAAAGACATGGATGAGCGAGTTTGGTGTGGAAGAACTTGACTGGCCTGCACAGAGTCCTGACCTCAACCTGATAGAACACCTTTGGGATGAATTAGAGCAGAGACTGTGAGCCAGGCCTTCTCATCCAACATCAGTGTCTGGCCTCACAAATGTGCTTCTGGAAGAATGGTCAAAAATTCCCATAAACACTCCTAAACCTTGTGGAAAGCCTTCCCAGAAGAGTTGAAGCTGTTATAGCTGCAAGGGGTGGGCCAACCTCATATTAAGCCCTATGGATTAAGAATGGGATCTCACTCAAGTTCATATGCATGTGAAGACAGACGAGCAAATATTTTGGCAATATAGTGTACCTAACCTAACCACACCGGTAAAATACCTTACATTTATATGGTATCAGATAAACTTCAGAGTCTCTTGTTGAATAAAAATAAAAGATACAAAATCTCCAGTTTACCTTGTGTCAGGTCATCCAGTTCGTCATTTGGTCTTCTTTTTATTCCTGTAAACAGAGAAGTGTAAGAATGTAAACATGCACATATGAAGAGAAAATCAGCAGGTGTTTGGTATGTAGCATGGGTAGCAGTTGTCTGTAGAATTGCACAGACTGTATTTCATGCTGTGTTCAAAAGAGCAAAAAAGGCCAAATCTTTAAAATATTCCCCAAATTAATAACCAAGAACATAAACATGCACAAACTATTTTCTAGTCCTGGTTCAGTGAACAGACTGTATGATCTAGTGTGACTAACAGGGCTGGAAAGGTGACTTAAAATTTAGACTTAAAATGTAGTCCAGAACAGATACTGACTACCTGTTAGAAATGTAATCAGTAACCTAATCTAAAGAATTACTACATTAAAGTAATGTGACCTGAGCACAAAAAACATTTTCTTTTCATATAAGGAAGGACAGAAAGAGAGAGCACTGTCTCTCTTTGCACTTTAATTCTGCAGATTTTAGCCTTTATTTTTGTTTCATGTTTTGTGTATCATTAAAACATCATTAATCCACACAAACAGGATCTCACAAATGTTTGAGTGGAGCGCTCTGTTCCTCATTGAAGCAGACTGAACTGTTCTTGAGTTGCTGCCTCTGTTCATGATCAGTGTGACTGTCACCCACATGTCCAAACACAGTATGTAACAGTTCTGTTTGTGAATAAATCCTTTGCTGTTTCACTGTTTACATGTGTGACTCTTCTTCAGCTCTACACTGATTCATTGGATCATACAGTGTCAGATAATCTTCAGACTCTCTGATTAAATAAAAGTAAAAATATGAAAAATCTCCAGCTTACCCATTTGAGGGTCTCCCACTTCTGATTTCATTCTTATCATTTCTGTAAACAGAGAAGTATAAGAATGTAAACATGCACATGTGAAGAGAAAATCAGCAGGTGTTTGGTCTGTAGTATGTAGAATTGAGTGTGTATGAAATCTATTAAAGACAATATTTCATGCTGTGTTCCAAAGAGGAAAAAATACCAAATCTTTAATATATTCCCCAAATTAATGATTAAGAACATAAACATGCACAAAGTATTTTCTAGTCCTGGTACAGTGAACAGACTGTATGAACGAGTGTGACTAACAGGGCTGACAGAATGTAGTCTAGTATAGATTACTGACTACCTGTTAGAAATGTAGTCTGTAATATCATTTAAAAGATTACTACATTCAATTAATGTGATCAATAAAGAAATAAGAGAGAAAAACTAAGAGAAAAACTATTTCTATAAAATGACTCTACCCTAAAACTAAAGAAAGAGGAAAATTCCACTGTTTTTTGAAGCTTTGTGAAGGGCTTTATGAAATGCTGTTTATGAAGCCATTAATTTGGACTTTGAGTTATTTATAACCCTGTCCTGTTATTTCCCTCTTTCACTGATGTGATGAAAATGTGCAGCTCAAACATCATCAAGCCCACTAATCAATCACAATATTCATTGCAGCCAAACATTTTCATCCTTAAATAGGGTCACACAGTGAAAAAGGTTAAGAACTCGGTAACACTTTATTTGAAGGGTCTCTACATAACACATTCATATCACCTTACATAAACACTTCATAACACATTCATGAATGCTTAAATCAACATTCATAAACTATACATGTTTTACATGATATTAATATGGACTACAATGTCATTTTACTGAAAGATGTTTTTCAAAATAAAAGTCCTCATTTTATTTATTATTTTCAGTGAAACTCCTCATTTCTGGACTGACAGCATAAAATGACCTGGCTTTATCCCTTTGGACAGAAAGTGTTTTGACACTTTTTGCCTAGACTTTCAACTTTTTTAATTTCTTTTTTCTCAAGCATTTTTATTTTGCAATATGCTATTCTTTCTACTTTTTACGCTAATTATTCATATATAAAATGTACTGTTCATTCAACACTCTATACATAAATGTGGAAAATGTTACTTAAACTAAGTTTAACTTTCTTGGGGTAAATGCTAACACTGTTATCCCAATTACTTTGGTTTTATTTTTAGTGATGTTCTTCCTCACTTACGGTTTTGGAGAAGGCACAAGTATAACTGTGCATTAGTTATCCTGTGTAACTGAGGTTAAATGTGACAAGCACTGTTATCACAAGGAATGATTCCTTTTTTGGCAATACTTCAAAGTACAATCGAGTGGTGGCTCTTTGACTTTCCTCACTCAGGGTGCTGATAATTTTGTAAGAAATGTCCTTTATAACTTTGCCTTGCTTTGCCTTCACCATAAAAGTGATGGAAGTCACGTTATCCTAACTAAAGTGCATGTTACATGAATGGATGGATCTTGAATGGAATGGATAAGCATTATGGGCCTGTCCCACCACCACACACAGTTTGAGACTTTAAGATGATTGACTGTTCATAGCACATTTATGAGTAATTCACTGTCCACATAGTAAAGTGACATGCAAGACAACATTCATAAGTTATTCATAGCATTTTAAGGAGCTGTTAATATACCTTATAGTAAAGTGACATGCAAAGCAACATTCATAAGTGATTCATAGCATTTTTAAGGGATGTTTACACACCATGTGTATAAATAGTGATAGTGATTTACAATTAAATATCTACAATTATTTTCCCTACCTTTGCAGCAAGACCCAATGACTGTGAAAAGGAGTCAATAAACACCACAAGTAGGGTATTGGCAAGACCAAGAGGCACTTAAACATGCTGCTCAAACTCAAATCAGGAAACTACAAACTCTTCTGAACATGCAAAATACAGATGTGTTCAATAAAATCTTCAACTCTTTTCTAAAACGAAAAATAAAACACACCACCTCATGTGGCCGTTACTTAAGGGGTACTGCCTTCACTTTTTTCCTTTTCTTCTTAGAGTGAAATTGTTTTAAATTCTCTGAAAAACAAAACAAAAATATGGAAAAATAAACAAAACGGCACAAGTCACAGCAAGAGTCTGAAGATATCGTGATACTGGCACTGCTGCTGGTTGTCTGTCCTCTTCTGGCTGTTAAAAAGATCAAACAGTAGCAGTCAGATGTGTGGAACTCTACACGCACAGAATAAGCCTATTTATACTGGAAGTGCATGAACGTTATGTTAGTGGGCTAGACAGACTGTCATAGCAGAGGTATGATATATAACTAGCAGTACAGCACTTAAATTAGCTGCTTTGCTCATGATCAGTAAGTAATCAAGAAGCTTTGCTAACTAGCTAGCAGGCTAATGCTACCTTACATTAGCTATTAAAATGCATCAAGCTAATGTTGACGTCACGTAGTTAGTTAAGTTACATGATTCAGTTAAGGCCCAAAGATTAATGCTGCAGCATTTAAGCTGGAACGGGTAAATTCGAAAAAGAAGCTGGCGAATGAGAAGCTGATTTCAGCCTCATGACTTTTCAGTATTTGATAGTTTCTCGTTACAGATTAAATATATCGGGAAACCAACTGGAGTGATAATAAATTCATAGTCTAAGTCCATTCGTATCCAAATTACCGATGTTTGTCTTAAATTTTTCCCTTCGCTTTTTTGTTAGCTAACTTACTAGCTGGGCAAGACTGTTGACTGTCCTGCTGTGACCAGCAGTCTGCACGCCTGCAGGATTAAAGGGTGAATTAGCAGATAAAGGCTATATTAACTCCAGTGTTTAAGACCGTTTATAGTTGAAACTGTGTTGAACGATCAGCAGAGCTTTATTTTACTGTAAAGGAGGATTATTTTATTTTTGCCTATTTTGCAGTTCCATGTTCAGAAGAGTTTGTAGGTTCCTGATTTGAGTTTGAGCAGCATGTTTAAGTGCCTCTTGGTCTTGCCAATAAAAAAAAAAGGACCTTCCTACTTGTGGTGTTTATTGACTCCTTTTCACAGTCATTGGGTCTTGCTGCAAAGGTAGGGAAAATAATTGTAGATATTTAATTGTAAATCACTGTCACTATTTATACACATGGTCTGTATAAATCTCTTAAAAATGTGATGAATCACTTATGAATGTTGTCTTGCATGTCACTTTACTATATGGTATATTAACAGCTCCTTAAAATGCTACGAATCACTTATGAATGTTGTCTTGCATGTCACTTTACTATGTGGACAGTGAATTACTCATAAATATGCTATGAACAGTCAATCAACTTTGTGTGGTGGTGGGACAGGTCCATAATACTTATCCATTCCATTCAAGACCCGTCCATTCATGTAACATGCACTTTAGTTAGGATAACATGGCTTCCATCACTTTTATGGTGACGGCAAAGCAAGGCAAATTTATAAAGGACATTTCGTACAAAATTATCAGCACCCTGAGTGAGGAAAGTCAAAGAGCCACCACTCGATTGTACTTTGAAGTAATGCCAAAAAAGGAATCGTTCCTTGTGATAACAGTGCTTGTCACATTTAACCTCAGTTACACAGGAAAACCAATGCACAGTTATACTCATGCCTTCTAAAAACCGTAAGTGAGGAAGAACATCACTAAAAATAAAACCAAAGTAATTGGGATAACAGTGTTAGCATTTACCCCAAGAAAGTTAAACTTAGTTTAAGTAACATTTTCCACAATTATGTATAGAGTGTTGAATGAACAGTACATTTTATATATGAATAATTAGCGTAAAAAGTAGAAAGAATAGCATATTGCAAAATAAAAATGTTTGAGAAAAAAGATATTAAAAAAGTTGAAAGTCTAGGCAAAAAGTGTCAAAACACTTTCTGTCCAAAGGGATAAAGTCAGGTCATTTTATGCTGTCAGTCCAGAAATGAGGAGTTTCACTGAAAATAATAAATAAAATGAGGACTTTTATTTTGAAAAACATCTTTCAGTAAAATGACATTGTAGTCCATATTAATATCATGTAAAACATGTATAGTTTATGAATGTTGATTTAAGCATTCATGAATGTGTTATGAAGTGTTTATGTAAGGTGATATGAATGTGTTATGTAGAGACCCTTCAAATAAAGTGTTACCAAGAACTCTTGATCATTACTTTGCAGTGTTATTTCAAAAGGTCCCTTACATCTCAGCAGTTGAGGCAATCTACAGAAATCAATGCAGCCAACGATTTTAAAAAGTCATTTGTTTTACATAATAACAAATCTGAAACTTTTATTTAATCTTTTAAGTTTCTATCCACAATTTAAGGGACATTTATTATTTAAAATGGTGAATTTTAAAGCAAGGCCACAAGTTTGAAGGTAATTGGTAATCCT